CTAGTATTCAAATAAGATATTACACACTTATTTAAATAACTAGAACCTATAACTCACACCTAAGAGAACCACTCTTAAGATATAGAAATAGGAATTTAAAATAGAACACACACAAGTGTATTACTACTGAAATGGGAAATACAATCTGATGTTTTACAAAGGCCTATGGCCGAAATATATATAGCAAAAACAAGGGAGACTACCAAGTCTCTTATTCACACAAATTAAAGGAATAATAACCACTTATTTGAGTCCTTTGGTGGGGAAGGAAATCAGAGATAGGGGCTAGTTTGTGGGGCTGTTGTTGGGTTATTATTGTGGGCAAGTTGTGGTGGAGTGGGCTGCTATTTTGGAGGGTTTTGGGTGGGTTGATTCGGCCAGGAAAGGGGGTACAAAGGGTGAGTGGGCTGGCTATTTTGGAGGGATGCAATAGGTAGTTTATGGAGATGCAAAGGTGAGTGGGATTGCTGCCAAGGTGGGCCAATATGTTTTGTTTGTTTGCAGCTTGTTTCTTTACACATAATGGAGAGTATAATGGGGAACAATTGTGGGGGCTGTGACATGGGTTTGGGCAGGTTTTTTTGGGTGATTGTGTTCGGCCATAACAATGGGAAAGAGGGGCTGGTTGATTAGGCCATTATTGGGATTGTGATTATTAATCTAAAGTGGGTTCAAAAAGTGGGGTAATGTGTGGGCTTTGGGTTTGGGTATTTCGGCCAAAGGTGAGGGCAGAATAGGAGGGTTGGGTTGTGTTTTTAAAGGTTGGTTTGGATATTTAGGGTGTGGTGGTTTTAGCCAGGGTTGGGGTTCGGCCTCATGGTGGGGAAGGATTCAAGGACATTATGGTTAGGTTATGATTTTTAATGGTGATAAATTCACTCCAAAAAGGATCATAACACTTGGCCATTTTTCTGTTGATTTGTTTAAGGACTTTAGAGTCGTTGGTGGTTACCCGGGGTATATCATTAAAGGCTTTAAATGAGTACGCATTTAAGAGGGTATTAATATAGAAAGAAGATAATCAACTTTCACTACTACAGAATAGACATTACACAGCGCACTTTACACAGCGAATAACTTAAAAGGGCTGTGTAAATTTTAAGGTCTATGACTAGCGCTGTTTCAAGGTTTAACGCTTATTCCAATTTTTCTTTTTTTAAGCTTACACAACGGTGGCGCTGTGAAAACTTCAGCCGTGCAAATTAATAGAACTTCAGCAGGCATCTCTGGATTAGAAGACTCACTCCCTCTCGTCGCTAAACTTTCTCGGTCTTCTCCTCTCTCGATCTAAACGCGCAAATCGATCGATTTCCATACTCTCAAATTGATAGCCGGCCTCTATTTTTTGATTTCTCACATAATCGATTGACTATTTGCAAGCATCAATCGTGGATCGATACAGGTTTGATATATTTTCGAAATCTTTTAATTTTTTTTTCAAATTAGGGTTTTTAAGGCTTTAATTTAAAAATTTATTTTATATCATCTTTTTTCCCAACACTGTGCTAGGTAAAAAGAAGAGCTATTGATTTAGACTAGTTTTTGAATCGTATTTTATTGATGAATTATAAAGTAATCTCTGGTTTAGACCCGTTTTTGGGAGGATGGGATTCTCTATACCAATTTTCCTATCCCACTCTCCTATCCCATAGTTGAAGCATTGCCACATGTCCTTTTTTTTCTTTTTTCTTTTGTTTTTCTTCCCTACTGGGTAATTCAATAACCCCCACCCCCACCCTGTACTCTAATCCCACCTCTATAAACACAAAGAACTCTGGGAAATAAAATAAACACCTAAAAACACTACAAGAAAATGTGCTGATAACGTGTTAAGAATAAAGATGATAGAAATATTATCAAGAACAAGATGATAGATATATACCTTGATAAGAACATAAATGGAAGATCAAAGTGCAATGGAGAATGAAAGAGAAAGAATGCAATGAGAGACTAAAGATATGGATGTCTCATTTCAACATATGGAGCCTCTATATATAGGCTTACAAAGGGGAAAATCAAAAGTCTAACTTAGACATGGAAAACATCAAAAGACATTTGTACATAACACTTTTAACCACACTTGTTTTGCCACACATGCCCAAGTGTTGTAAATATTTAATGTGTATTTAACCTCTTCACATTTATAAGTGTTGCCATGACAAAAAAAACATTTTATATATTTAACATGTCTAATGATGTATAATCGTCCAAGTAGTAACCGTCCAACCCATTTGTGTTACTCTGTACTATACTCATAGAGTACCACATACTCCGTAAATACCATCTGTATCAGATTTCGCACATACCTTCACAGAACATGACTTCTCACAGCGATGAATCTCATTCTTCACGCATCAAATAGTTGATGTAAAATTGAAAATTGAATTTTCATCTTCAATTAGTCATCTTCGATTTGTCAGACGCGTTAACAATAAGTAGGGCATCGAAGGGAAGGAGACGATATCAGGATTCAAAACCCTAGCTCCCGACCATTATTGATCTTTGCAGCACAAAGCAACATGTAAAAGCACAGATCGAGCACGAAGGGAAGGGCGGCGATGGTTTAGAGAAGTTATACCGGAGAAACGAGTGACGAGATGGTACAGAAAAGAAGCCAAACCCACCATCCACAATTGTTTTCAAGGGTATTATCTTTAAATCCATGGGTTTTCCTCGTCCTTTATGTGTTGATTTTGTGTTTATTATCCATTTATAGTAGCATTGCATATATTCTAGGGCTTGAACGAATATGAAATTATATTTGATCATGTTAAATACTCCGTAATTGATTTTGTTATATTTTAAATCTAATATACTCTATGATTGTTTTTTATATATTATGTTCAATTTGATAACATTAATTTTCAGTTTTTTCCTTAAGGTTTTGTTAATTTGGTAATGTGTATTTTCAATGTAATAATCTAAATTTTCAGTTTGTGATTTTGGATGCTGCCCTTGCTCGATAACATCTCTTCTTCCTCAATTATAGCTGTAAGTTTAATCATTCTAATGGTTTCTATGGGCTATGTTTCTGTCAGGCCTACCATTGGATTACATGTAAAGTACTTATGCTTAGAAAAACTTTCTTTATAACATCAGATGATTGACAGTTGAGATAGAAGAAAGTGTTCCTGCAATAAGTGATTTCTCAGGTCATTTGTGTGTTATGATTTTTGTAAACTCATTTTTGTTTTAATGATCTTTGTTTTGTGTATACAAAAGTAAGTACTCGTATATTTTAAAACTCGTTTGTGTTTTATAATTTTTCCTGGAATTGTTTGAGATCAGGTCAGGCCTGACTGTAGATGTTGTTGCGTCTTGATTGTTTTGTCTTACTGTTCTTCATAGGGCTACTGCTTGTTGAGGATAGTCCACATCACGAAAGGCTACTGCTGCTATATTAAAGCTCGTAATATCACAATATGAACTTGTACTCATCTACATCAATTAGCTGCTGCAATCTGAAGATATATGAATTGGGTCTTTTGCATTCTATGGAAGTAAAGGTCTTTTGCATTCTATGGAACTAAAGGTCTTTTACATTCTATAGTTTCTTGTCTCTCTGCACCCAAGGCATTCCCTTTCACCACTTTTTAAAGTATTTTAAGTTATTGAAGTTTTTTAGTTTTCTCTATATCTGGAGATGTAACTTATTGTGTTTTTTCAAATTGTTTAATCTCCAAGGCTGATATGAATTAAGGAGATTTGCTACTGTTCACCTTTGAAGAAAACATTGTTATTATACGGTTTGTGCTCTTTTAGCTAATCTTTATTTCATTTTTTTCTACACATCCTATCCTGAAATTTTAAGTTTTTATTTATAGGCGAGTTCTTTAATTGAGACATATTAAGGATGTATGATTCCTGAGAACAAGAATTTGCTTGGAGATTATATCAAAGGAGCACACTTTGGCCAAGAGGGTATTCTTTTTTTCTAAACGAGCATGCTCAGAAACTGTAATTACATGTAAGCACATATTCATTATACCTAGTTTTTCATTTTTTTTCCTTGTATATTTGAGTTCGATTTATGTTGTTTTATTCATTGTAAACATAGCAATGGACAAATTTTTTGTGTAGATGTTGCATGTTGATTAAACATCAGAACTTTCTGCATTTGAGGGATCTTTGTCAAGCCACACTACTTCTGATTGTTACACTTCTAGTTGGATCTATTAATTTTGTTGGTATTTGAATTTCGAAGTAAACTTTGAATGAAGGTTTGAAGGGGAAACAAAATAGTCTGTGCGCAAATTTCTACTTTATGGGAAAGATATGTAGACTGAAGTAGGGTAGCTATGATGGTTGTATGCTGCTATAATATATGGAGAACAAGCTAAGGAAGAGAGATTACTGAATAGGAAGCAGCCATATGGTCAACAGTATGGAGCAGCCAGTATGGTCAACAATATGGTCATTCTTCAGACAAGAATATATATATATATATATATATATATATATATATATAAATGGGAGAGATAGTTAGTTACCCATTAAAAAAATGCACCTTTTCCGTCCAAATTTCATATACCTCATGCTTAAAAAGTTGTACTCCCTCCGTTTCTTAAAACTCTTCCTCTTTCATTTTTTTTGTTTTTCTTAAAACACTTCCCCTTTCTATTAAAAACCCACTTTTACCCCTACTTTTTCATACCCTACATATCACATCATACTTTTTCACTAACAACTAAACTATCACATCTTACTTTTACCCATCACATCAAGGGCAAAATTGGAAAGTCAACTACAATTTAACACTTCCTTATTTTCCCCCAAAGTCAAAAGAGGAACTCTTTTGAGAAACGGAGGTAGTACTTTTTACATCCTGAGACAAAAGTGTCCTCGCCGTTAAAGGTCCGTCCATTTTAGAAGTAACGGTAGAAGGTGGTAGGTTTGCAACATTTTGGCTTCTCATATTCCACTTGTATGTACGGAGTACCATGTAGCAAATCGCGAGAAGAATAAAACTGAAGATGGACCGGGTGACACAGATTCAAGCCACAAGAACTCGAGGTCCAGGGGACAACAAGTTCTGACCAGACATCCATGCCGTTGGATCGGCTCTCGCCATCCATGTTCCCAACCATTGCCACAGATCGATTCTAACGAGGTCACCACCAGCACGTTTTAACCGTTTTTGATTTGGGGTATTTCAAAATCCCTAAGGTAGTGTTTGGCAACTAGCATTTCATTTCAATTCATTCATTTCAATTCCAAAATTTGAAATCCTGAATTTCAAATGACAAGGGGAGGTGCATGGATTTCAAATTAAGCTTGATTTTGAATGTAAAGAATTTGATTCAAATCCAAATTCAAAATGCTTAAGTTTCCCAAACATGGAATTTAAACCAAATCCGGATTTGAAATCCAAATCCATGTTCCCAAACATACCATAATATATTTGTTTCTCTTTTATGAATTCTTATCCAGCTTTAGAGGGGTTTTTTAAAAAGCTGATTAATTGGACATTTGGTCTTTGATTTGCATGATATTTGATTTAATAGATGATAGTGTTCTACACTGATAAATAATTGTTAGAGTTGGTCAATTTGGGATTCATGATATACGGAGTATTGTGTTGCCTAAAAAGTTTGAGCAAAAATCAGATAGAGATTTGTGAGTTCCCTATTTGTGTTTCATTAGCAAAGAATCTCTCCCACCTGAATTTTTTATTTTCATGCGGCTCCCCAAAATTGTTGAATTAAAGAAAGATAATGATTTCACATATGAAAATAAAACGGGAAGAACGTAAATGTTCAGTTGGGTTTTGTTAAGTCAATCATAGTTTCGGATCCGATAAGAATAAATGAATAAACAACAACAACAATATTGGTTTCTTGAAATTTAAGATACCTGCATTCTGTGAACTGAATGGTGAATTCAATGCTTTATGAGTATGTGGATTCTGGGAAAGCCCTAAAAGAGTCTCAAATGGCATATTGCTTAGGGTGTGTTCATTTTCTCCCAAATGGCATATTGCTATGATTTACCTATGAACATGAAATGGCAAGGAGACACATTCCTAACACACTTCATCTTATTGTTCTATGTAGTTCAACGTCCCAAAGGATCAATATCAGGTCTGTCTCTGTTTTTTTGTGTTCATATACGGAGTAATTTATCTTCAAATTGCAAGTCGACTTCATCATTAATTTTGTTTACATAAATAGTAAATACATTGAAGAACTAATGGCGCTGCAAAATTTTATTGTGCTCTATGTTGTTAATGGTGTCAAAGTTTGCCGACTTACTATTTTAATTACTTTGGTTGTATAACTAATACCTCACTTTAATATTTTCATTCGTTTTTTATTTCCCACGGGAAATTATGTCCTTATATTCAATATGCTATTCATTGTGGCAGTCTGCCAAGTGTGTAAGCTTTACATTAAAATGTTTTATTTCATGTTTGCTAAGCTATTTCAAAGTGTTATTTGGACTCTATGAGAGATGCATATTAAACTCGAGTCATTGCATTATACTTTTGTCTATGCTTTTAATCTAAAACATTATGTTTTATTGTATCGATGCTCTAAAGAAAATTTTCAGTTTTAGAATTTATAAATCTATTCATAGCAGTTTATTAAGAATTTTCGAGCTTGTGCGAAGCTGCCGAAGCATAGGGTAAAATTCTTCATAGCAGTTTGTTAGTTAATCATTAATGTACTTTGCTTGATAATATTTTAGCATCGTTATACCTTATTCGTTTTTAAAAAAAAAGTTCATTTAGTTAAGAAGTTTACCGGTATGATTTTGATATCATTCTTTATTCTGATACTTTTTTTTGGTATTGATAAATTTGATTCTTTCCTTAGAAATAGAATGGCATGAAGATGGACCGTACACATAATGTGTATCCTTCGTGTATCCCGTCCTTAAATGTTCCTGTTGGAATCTACCCTTGAATTAAACTACAATCAATCAATTGATGTCTTTTTTAATTTCACATTCCACTACCATTCAACTATTGATGCCATTTTTTAAGTACACCACAGCCATAGATTTATTTAGAATTATATATAAAACATCTATTACATTTATAAATAATTTATTTTAATTAAATCATTTTTCATATTATAAAAGTCCATTAAAAGGAGTGCATTATAGATGGATTTTTGGCTTACGGTCAGAGTTAGCCTCTTTTTTATATTGATTCTTTTGAGATTGAAGCTAATTTTGGCATATTAAGCTATATAGAAGGTTATAGTCCTTGTTTTATGTTTTGAAATGTCTTCCAATGTTTTTTCCAAATTATATAATAGCTTATCGGAAATTCTAAAGTGAAACCAAAATCAAATTTGAGGGATAAAATAAATCTCACTGTATAATATAAAATAATAGATGGTATTTAGTACCAGTTCCAACTGTGTTACTTTTCCGTTAAGAAGTTGAGTACGCTTGTTCAGGTTTCATGCCATTTTTGCCCATACACCGTTGGATCTCTATCGACCGTTTTCATCATGACCTAAATATGGCAGGAGTCTAGAGTTTCATATTCCCCAAAAGTAGTTCGCTGTATCATTGTGATGGAACAGAAGCCCCTTTGGAATCCTCTATTTTGCAACTGAGTAGATTTAATCTCAGGTTAGATTCTTCCCCTCTTTTTGGTTTTTAAGGCCGAATTAGTAGTAATTTTATCAATTTCGCATATAATACTTCTCAATTTCCAAATTTTATTATGCTCTACGATGTTTGAATTTTCAAAAGCTGTCTATTTGCCTTTATTTAAAGAAAAAAGCTGTCTATTTGCCTTTATTTAAAGAAAATAGTTTTTTTCAAGCACCCACAAATAGAACGTTAACTTAAAGTGAGAAATTTTTTGTTAAAACTGTTGGGACATACAAAGTACAATTTCAAATGATGTACTTGTTACTTGTTTAGATGATTAACTCGTGTTTTACGTATATTGTACTCCGTATGTGGTATGATAAGAAGTGGACAAACTTGATTTTGTTTTGGTTTGATATGCCATGGATTTGAAGTCATTGTGAGTAACAAAGAGACTGGAATATATACTTTTTTCTAAACACTATCATGACACATGTATTTGATAACCATAAAACTTTGCTACACCGCATTCCTTATATCACATTTTAAAACTCCAAAACAGTGAAAGCCTTATTATTTATTTCCAATGCTAAATATATCCAAAGAATGACTCAGATTGTGGAGGAAATGAAATGGCTTGTGGAGCAAATGGCTCAAAATGCAATAAGAACGATAAAGCGAGACCTAAAATAATACAAAATGACACTTACAACTATAGAACAGGGTTGCCAATTGCCATAGATATGTCAAGTATATGTTTTGAATTGTTTTGAATCTTCTAACAGTTTTTCTCCTGTTCCAGTCGACTTGCTGAAACAAAGTTCATGTTCTGTTTACTTGACCAACATCACAGATCAATATGTAGCATTTAAGGTGAACCTATTTTCATCTTTCCCCCAAACAAGGGATAAGACAACTTAGAAGTAATGATATGGCTCACAAGTATGAACCAAATCATGCAGGTCTGATGTTCTTGGTCAGTTCATGCCTTTGGTCGGGAAGGATTGGACTCATTCTGGAATTCCTAGACTTTTTTCGGCAATAAAGGTATGTGTGGTCTCTTTAGGTGAACCGTCCCTATTTTGAAGATTTTATATTTTATGCCCTCTTCCTCAGTGATGAAGTACCAGAAATGGGTGCATTTTGCTGAGTAACGTTTCCATGTATGCTACAGGAAAATACTTACCAGCTTCTTTTTCTGAGTGCACGTGCAATCAGAAAACAGTTGCGGGATTGATTTTGAAACTACTGTCTAAGAGTGGTTTTTGGGGAAATTTCGGTTTCATTTATGACTTTTCGTTTTGTCATTCACATGTCTTTTTCGGTCAGGGTTTTATGTTTTCTGTTTGTGTTTTGGAGGATATGATTTAAAATGAGAAACTGTGTTTCAGTTTTCACTGATCATGTCTTGGTTAGGACCTATGTTTTGGTTATCAATCCTCATTTTGGTTTTATGATTAGTTATAGCACGCTGTTCGATGAATAAATATTCACATACAAAAAGCTCATGTATTCGTTGAGAGAAATAAAACTTTTGTCTGTTAAGAGAAATAATAATACATATTGAAGTAGGCAAAAAAAGAGTAACAAATACTGGTGGTTAAAGGTTTAATCTTTGTCGTGATCTAAAATCTGGTTTAGAGGTCTGGTCAGTTGTGGTTGCCGCGTTGAACTTTAATCCTTGAGACTGTTTTTGGCATAGGATTTACTGTTACAGTTGGGATTTCATTTTGACTTTTGCTAATAGTGTTTAGTTCCGTAATACTATGAGACTTCTCTAACGTAACTTAGGCAAACCGTTCCCTAACAAACTAAGGTTAAGGTCATAGGTCCAACTCAGTCACTGCACATCCCGTACCAAATGGCCGAGTTTAATACGTCAATCTGCCTATGGGTCTGTATTTCAGATTCAGCCCCAATGCATGTACAAATAATTGGATAACTATATTCGCATAATTACATTACAGAATATCCCAAATACCCAGTATTTTTGGACGTCTTAAACTCGGTGCAGTCTCTTATTCTCTATGCAGTGTCTTATTTAAACAAAACTATCTTTTCCAAAGCAAAGCAACACATCCTTGACAAGGCAAATCACGTCTCATCGGAATTTTATGTCTCCCTGCATAACAGATTACTTGTAAAACGAAATAACAACAGAAACACCTACATCAAGTAACCGTTGATTAATGAAATATTACATCATTCACTCAGAATATAATAAATACTATTACGAAATGCAATGAAATAACATATTCATTCAACATAAAAGACTATTGAACCAGAAATATTAGTTACTTGACACCCATTATATAACAAAATGTGTTTTGTTTTGGTTCGTTTCAGTGATTAGCACTATTCTGTACTATGCTTTTTTTCCCCTTGATGAAATATTTTATGAGCTCACTCACCTCACGGCTTGCTTATTTACGGTTCAATTCTACATTTGACTATTACTTTAGAATTTTGGGATCCCTTCTACATAGGGAATTTGTTTCTTTGTTTGGCGATTGACTATGAGGCTGCCTACTTTTAGGGAAATTTCAAGGATTGGGTTTGAAATTGCTTTTTGGGACTGCTGCTTTTAGGGGCAGATTTTGGGTAAAACTTCAGATTGGCTTTTGACCTTTCGTTTAGTGAATGCTTGCCAAGTGAAATGGTTCATAATTACCTTAAAAAGATTAAACCTCACTTCTTATTTTGTGTGGACATAATATGCAATCTTTCTGGCTATAAAAATTATGACAACATAGACACACCTGAGAGAGATGCTGCTTGGGGAAAAAGTAGGAGAGAAACTTAGTTTTGGTTGACTCCAATTGCCCTGAGTTGGTTGGCTCAATCTTAGAAACCAAAGACAAGCTATGGGAAATCGAGTTCAAGGCCGCTACAATCTTCGTGCAAGTCTAATAAATCTAATGTTTTTTGGATGATGAGTGAAAAATTATTTTAGACTCCTTACTTATAGTTAAGGGATATGATTAAAGTACAAAAAAATACCATGAATTCTTGTCTAAATGAATTGAAAGTATGAAGCATATAAACATACAAGATCAACTTATAAACTCCATGTGAAATGACCCTTCTTTAACTTCTAGATCTGTTTATGCATGTCTTTGTGTTATTATGGATAATTTTGTTACTTATCTGCATGCACTCTTTTTCTGAATTGAAGTATGAATCCTACATAAAGAACTGTAGGATTCATCAACCAGCGTCTATATCTGAGCAAGTCAGTACTGCATCTCTGTCCTCAGTATCCACCAAAAAACCATTCATCAAATATTTGGAGGCAAGGCTCCATAATAAGGATGAAGAGAATCATGACCTCAGGAGACCTATGGATATTTAAAGTATGTTAAATACAATAGAGATAGGGAAATCATTTCATGGAGAACAACCATCCACTCCAAATAATGATGGTCGATTTGACGAGGTTAGCAATTTTAATAAAGCACCTAATGTAATACTTGTTGAGCTTATTTGCTAATTCTGTATTACTCTGAGGTGTAGTCAAATCGAGGGAATGATGAGTAGCTAATGTTGGAGGAAGTGTTAACTTGTATGGGTTTTAACATTTGGTAAATCACAGTTTTAAATCTATTATTACTTTTTATAATAAGGGTATGTATGTGATTGGAGTGTTCATTACCATTGTCTTTCAAGATATAGTGGTTGTTAGAATAACTGCAATTGTATGTAAATTAGATTAATTATATTCTTATGGGAGGAATCATTAACTTGTATTTATAGATAGTTTGTACTTAGAGAAATTTAATTGATAAAGATATTAATAATTCTTCCATTCATATTTGTCACTTGTGATTTGATTTAGTCCCTTATTATAAGAAATTGATTACATATATTTTGATCTTTGCTACATGAAAAGAACTTGATGAAAATGTGTTTGAAGTTGAATCCTAGGAAGAGAATTTTGATTGAGGAAAGTTTCATCCATAGTAGTTTTTTTTGTTTGAATTATGTTTCTTATATATCAGTGGTTCAAAACATTCTCAATTCATGTATTACACTATCCCTTTTGTTTCTTTTCGTGCTCAGCAGATGCTTTCAAAGACACAGACACATTGGGTTGTTAAGACAAACAAGCACATGTTTTGGCTGTTGGATGATTTTGGCTATATTATTGAAGGTTGTGGTTTTGGAAAATGCACTTGTAGCTTTTTGGAAGTTGCTACAAAATAGTTGGCCTTCTTATGGACTTGTCTGTACTTACGAACCAGCTAATTTGTTTGAGATTTTGTTTCATGCAGTGAGTATGCTACAAGAACTCGTAAATGTTCGAGCCTCTACTGTTTTCTTAGATTGGACATGCCAAGACAATGAGTGTTATTGCACCAAGTCTGCAAATGTAGAGAGAGGGTGAACCGATCACAATAATGGTGAAGCTCAGGTTGCTGTTGCATATAAATTTGTCCAAGCAAAATTGCTAAGCTTCCCACTAGCAAACACCACCAAGGACTTATTGCCATTAAACATCATCACTGCCAGTGAACACCACCATCAGCATCAGAGGCTTGTTGCAATCCATCTCTGATCACAGCCGCTGTCACCCACCACCGTTCTTGACAGTCTTCGCGAGTGACAATGTGGACCCCACGCCAACCATCACCTCCAACCATGCTAACATAGTTTATGATTGCCACTACCTATTCCCAGCCATTGCTGCCACCAGCACCTCTAACTCTGTTCACCACCTCAACGCATCCCCACACTGCATATAACATAAAGTAAATGTGTGGGCAAACATGATTTCCATACTACAAAAAAAACCAAAACAAACCAAAAAAAATTGACCAACTAAAATAAATAAACTCAATTTTTTAACCTAAAACCTATCATCAAGTCTAACAATTACTTTTTAGCTGAAGCTTATTCTTATATTACATTTTAAAAAAATTAATTCTTGTTTAGTTGTGTTAGAAATATCATTTTAGCGAGATGCTGAGGTGTTTTGTTTGAATGATATCCTACCCTTCATTCAATGCTATGAGTGTAATGAAGGTACAGAAGATGGCACACGCAGCTGCAGCCTGCAGCTCACTTCAACCGTCACTGCCATGCATTGTTGTAGCTCCCTGGCCATATTGCATCTTTCGGAGGCAGTTATCAATCTTCCTTTTACGCCCACTTTTGTAACTCATGTTTTTGGCTTACTGGATAGATACTATAATTGAATTTCTTTAACCCTTTTAGGGTAGTTGTGTGGGGATACTGGATAAGATCATAAGACTTGATCTATTTATTAATTTTTTAGATGAAAACAAAATAGAGTTGTCTGCAAGCTACCACGTGATTGTTTTACGTTTCTTTTTAATCTCATATGTGGACATCATGTTGTCCTATGTGTTTTATTATCTTGAAAAGAGAAGCAATTAGTTGGAGCACTCTTGTAATGACAAAGGTAAAATAAACAAAAGTAGTGTACACTTAGTTTTAAAATCAACGGTGGTGTACCGCAAAATTGGCCCCATTATGTTGTTCTATGTGTCTTTTATTTACTTTTAATTGTAATCAATATACATCTTGTGTGAAATTATTACCATTAGTCTTATGGACTTATTATTCATTCAAATGATACGTTTGAGAAATTCTTAACCTTTATTCTAGATATTATTGCATTGCTTATCAACCACTTCAATGGTACAGAAACATTTCTTATGAATTTTAAAAGCTCTATATACCCCCCCCCCCCAAACCATGTATCATACTCTAAATTATACTCAGTTGTGTTTTCAACTTCCTTTTTTGTGAGGTGTTGAACAAATAGAATTATAAACAAATTCAATCACGAAAAATTGTAAACAAAAACCATAAAAAAATATGGGCTAAAATCCTTATCGGGCACTTTAACTCGCGCAACGCGCGTGAATTTGCTAGTATATATATATATATATATATATATATATATATATATATATATATATATATATATATATATATATATATATATATATATATATATATATATATATATATATATATATATATATATATATATATATATATATATATATATATGTTAGACAAGGCCTTAATTTTATTTTTATGGTCAAGATTATCATTTTCTAAAAATTTATTTTCTTCTTCTAAATCATGAAGTTTAACTTTGGAAAATTTTGAAGCTTTCTTGAACTTACCAAATAGTTCTATAAAAGCTTCTTGTAATTATTCAAAAGAAGGAGAGTTTGAAGTACTTACCTCTTCTTCTTCATTGGCCATGAAGCAAGTTTGGGGTTCTTCAATTGCCTCTTCAAGAGTTTTATATTTCTCTTGAATGTCGTCCCATAACTTCTTGGCTGATACATATCTCGAGAAAATTTAGAATACTTCCACGTCGATGGCACAAAATAGAAGGTGTAGAGCTTTAGCATTTTGTTCGACCTTCATGAAATCATCATCCGTGTACTCCTCTTCGGGTTTGAGGATTCTTTTTTTGCCAACCTTCTTTGTTGGAAGACAAAGTCCATTGTTTATCATCATCCATGATTTGTAATCAATGGATTGAATGAATATTTTCATTCTCTTTTTCCAATATGAATAATTTGTTCCATTGAACAACGGTGGTCTTTCGGTGGATTGCCCTTCTATAATCCCTGCGTTCAACATTCTCAAAAAAAATTTGATCGTTTTCTCAAACGTCACAAAGAGCGTTAGAGATACCTGCTCCGATACCAATTGTTAGACAAGGCATGCAACTCTAGAGGGGGGTGAATAGAGTTGTTGAGAATGTTTACCGATTTTCGCAGGATTAATAATATAAACGTAAGTGCAGCGGAAATAAAAAAGAGAAGGCAAAGAACACACCGATGTATACTGGTTCACCACCTCGTGGCTAGTCCTGTTCCCCGAGAGACTCTCTCGAAGCTACCACTACTTCCGTTAAGCTTACGGGTGCTTAACAAACTGTTTACAACTCGAGAACTTGAATCCCACAAGCCTCGACACAACCGCTCATGATATGCCCTCTACAAGACTTCACAACCAAGACTTAAGTCACATAAGTCTTGAACAACAAGAAGAACAATCTTCTTCAGCCTAACAACAATAACTCTCACAAGAGTAGAAATGAGAAAAGATTAAGCTCTATGGATGAATAGAACACTCTCTAGAAAACACTAAGTTTTCTCTCAAAATATATCAATTTGAGGAAGAAATGAATGGAATATTATAACCTCAAGATTGGGGGAGTTTAGGAGTGCTTTTTTTTTAGTAAAAATGACCAAGGAGTGAAGTTTAAATAGGAGGTGAAGAAATATATTCGTTGGTCCAAGAAAAGAAGCTGTGCAGAAAAGATGCAGCACAATAATCGACTAATGCATCAGCATAATCGATTAGTGCATCATCGTAATCGATTAATGCAAGGGCAAAAATCGATTAATTTCGCCAGAGCAAAATTCCTGCTGCGTAGAAAAGTGATAATCGATTAAAACCAAAGGTGTTAATCGATTAGTTCCTTCTGGACGCGATAATCGATTAATTTCAAAGGTAAAATCGATTATTGCAACAATAATGCCTAGACATGAAGGACACAAGCATGTGAGCGAGTTGGGAGGATAAAAAGGAGCGTATACGTTTGTTTGAGACATTTAGAACAGGGGTAGGAGGCTCCCCATCACCTCAACAATTATTCAAAATAAATTTTGAATAAATGAAAGATATTTGTAGAAATTGAGTTCCAAAGTTATTTTGTGTGTCAAACGATGTACAAAAATATTTGAATAAAATATTTTTACTTTCCAAAAATACTTTCTAATATCAAAATAAATATTTTGATAAATGTTTGACACACTTTTTGTAACTGACTCAATAAATGTATTTTGAACAGTTAAAAGGATTTTTCAACTGACTCCAAAAATAAATATAATTTTTATTTTAACTCTCATAAAAGTAATTTTGGAGAGAAGATATTTTTGTCATCCTTACAAAAATTCCTAAGACTCAAATAAATAAAAAGTCTTCGGAAATCTTCTACTCCTCCGAGTCCTCCGTTAGGCGCTCCGAACGCGTCTCGAACTTCAATAAAATCCTGTGCACCTTCTTGAATACTTCAAGGAATGACACTTCAAGTCTTTGTGTGTGACGTTGTAGCACTTTGATCTTGACTTGAATAAATTGTGTTTGTCAATTATCAAAACCTGTGAGTCAACACTTAACAATACAGAAAGGGTTAAACTCATGCATTCCAACAATATATATATATATATATATAAATATATATATATATATATATATATATATATATATATATATATATATATATATATATATATATATGGGCTGGTTCCTGTGAGAATGATGCTTGGTGAAAGAAATAAGAATAATACTCATTCGTTGGATTGGGTGCATCGGATGGCCAAGATTCAACATTGCATTTAATACATCAATGAAATCAATTTTGTAAAGTAACTACTAGACTCCTAAAAATTAGGAAGCAATCAATTATTGGGGGCATAATGGTCAGTGAGCTAATACGGAATACATGTGTGAAAAAGGAAAGTTATATGGAGTATTTCATTTGCTGGCCTTACAACAACCCATTTTGTTATTAAAATATTTTGTTCATTTCATTTAATTATTATAATGCACTGCTCTTTATTTTCAACTTAACTTTTCACAAACAAGTTATCTTTGACAAAAAATATACCGTTAAAAATCTCTCATCGAGATCTATACAACGACATCAATATTGAATATAAAATTTTCATATTATCTTTTTCTCGCATTTCTAAGTAAGAAAAGTTAAATTTATAAACAATTTTCTTTTTGATATTATCTTTTTCTCGCATTTTTAATGTGAATGCACTGTGATGACTGATATATGCATTATGTTATACTGATTTGTCCTTTAAATTTTATTCAATTTTTATTTTTTCGATTTATGATTAAGTGAATAATGACTCCTGGGTGACTTTATTTGTGACGTGAAAACATGAGAATCCTTTGTATTCAAAAGTGTAATACCAATTTGAGAAATACTTTGCCTATGTAGGATTCGAAACCACATATGTAATGTATACCGCTCTACCATTTGAGCTAATAAGCAATAATATGTTGTTCAAAGATAGTCCATCTTGTACTTTGACCTGTTAAAGACTGAATTTATATATAAAAATTGCATCTTTCAAAGTTTTTCTAACCTATATCTAGATGTATTATTGAACATTTTAAATGCATCGTCATTTGCTAGACGATTACTTTCTAGAATATACAAATGCATCATATTCGTATCAAAAGAATTTCATCATATATGATAAATGAATTTTACTTTGATTTTGATAATGCACAATAATTGAATGAATTAACTTTTCCTCTATTCTAAGAATGCATAGTCTTATCGTGTAAATGCATTACTTCAATGTTGATAATGCAATATAACAAAAATATGTACTCATTGTCATTAAATATTTAACAACGCAAAACATGTTACAATGCACCATGAATTCTCTGTGGTGCATGTCAAGACTATGACTAATTGTTCCATAGTCGCTAGCTTTTAAAAATGCACCAATTGATTAAAAATTCTAATGAATAACAACAAGTCTTATTCTACTCAACCATCTATAAAATATGTAGTGAAACTAACAGTGAAGCAAGAAAAATACTAAAAAATAAAGTGCATATTACTTAATAGATGCATATTATAGAGTCCAAAGTGCTTATTTGAGACACAACGAGTAAAATATATATTTTGTGCATAACAGATGAAGAAAAGGGTCATGAATGAGGTGAATGTCCAAAAATTTAACAAATAGTATAGATATCTATTCAAGCAAAGATTTGACAGAAACTAAAAAATCCATTTCGTCAACTACTCTCAAACCTGAATTTATATCCATTCAAAAGCAAATAACTGATGCATATTAAGGAACCCATAGTGCATATTCGACACAGAGTGAGAAATACATATTTTAGGATTAAACCACACCATCATTAGATAAGAACAAATTTAAATTCATATATATGCGAAGACTCATCTACACAAAATGAAAGATTTAACATAAAATCACTACTTATTTTCATTTACTACGTAGAAGCTAAAGATGAATAAGAAATCATGTTCATGAACTGATGCACATACTGAAATTCAGAGTGCATATCTAAGACATAGAATGATCATAATAATATTTGTGACATCAAATTTTTGTTATGAAAAAAAAGGGTCAATTGGTAAAACTTGCCTTATGTTTTTTGGTGTCAGTACTAGTGCATTTGGTAAGAAAGAAATATGAAGTGGGGTCT